TTTTAATAAAGAGAGCACCCTTTTCAGACACATTTAGTGTCCATCTTTATATATTGGTTGCTTAAATCTATGATTTATTCTCTTGAGTAGCACTGCCATGTAGTTTAAATACTTTATGGAGATCTGCAAAGTGGAAATGGTCAGTGCCTTTGATGGCCTAGCTCATCTTTGGCTTTTTGAAACCTTTTCCTTCCCCTAAGTGTTTTTATTCATCAATCGAATAAGCTTCCATGTGCCAGAAGTTCTGGTTTGAGAGCAGTGTCGTGAAGTTGCTGTGGGGTATTTTTGTGTGTGTTTCCCACAATGGCCCAGACGAGCAAAGCAGTGAAAGGTTTTGGGATTTTTGCTGGTAGTGGTGAATTTATTTTTTTCCTTTAAACAAGGTAACTATTTTCACCTCCTCCTTATGAAAAGACACAACGTAAAGCTGCTTGTCTCCCAGCTGCAACATTCAGAAGAGATTTTAATACAACAAGCTGTGTTGCTAATGTTCTGAAATTTTCCTGGAATTTCATGGGTGTCTGAATGCAAATTTATTCTTCCCCCCCTCTTTTTTTTTTCCTGTTTGAAGGTTAGTTTTCTTTAGGGTATCGCTTCATTCCTGCCAATCTGATAAAGCTAACTTAATTAAAAATATTACCATTAGATCATACAGTTCTCTTTATTAGTTTAGTCCATGGGGCTCCTTTCCATGGGGAAATTATTTACTTCAGAAGTTGCAAGAGTAGCCTTGGCTGGCTTTGTTTAATGCAGCTGCTTTAAAGCTTTCCATCAGATTAATGTTTTTCCAGGTCTTTTCTTGCAGGTACGCTGTTACTCAGAGATAACTGTGATTGCTCAGATCTGTGGCAGTTGCTGCAGAGCAGTGCTGGGATTGGAGGGCTTTGTGGCAAAGCAGACACAAGGATTTGTTTTGAATGGTTGGTTATTTACCCCTTTTCTCCTCTTCTTTTCTTTTTCTCTTCCCTACACCCCCCACCGGTATTTTTCCTTCCAAGTGAAAAAGTCATGTGGTGGTCTGTGGACTGTTGGAAAGGGGGAAGGAGATGGGGGCACTGCTAGAGAGACTCTCCTCTCTTTCCCATGAGCAGTTTTAAGCAATAACAATGACAGCTCATTTAGCTGGAGGTCTGGTCTGCAGGCTTGTACTTCCATTTCCTATTCCTTGTCTTGTGGAGGAGCCATACTGGAGTGGATGTTGGAAGCAACCTTAATGTCACGTGTCACATAATCTCCAGATGGAGGTAGAGGAGCAGAGCAGTGTGTAAATGCTGTGCTCTAAAACAGTTGTGGTGTGGCTTCATGTAGGTGATTGTACCTCCATTTTCATACTGCATTTTCCATCCTGTGTCTGATGTTCCTTCTGAGTATTCCCTTCCCATGTGTGCCCCTCCTGGACAGCCTGTCAGTCTGGGCTCACAGTGGACACCATGAACAAGCTGCAGGCCTGAAGGCATCACTGGGCTTAACTGTGCTCAAGACTCATTGCTGACCTGTTCAGCAATGATCTCTCCTTTGAGGCATTTGACATGGGACAGTTTTTTCCAAGTGTCTGTCTGTGACCTCATTGCCTACATGTCTGCATTAGTCTGTACAAGAATTAATATTGCTTGGGCTCAGGCATTTCTTAGGCTGATCTCTGAAAACTGAATCCATCCTTGAGGCCAAGACCCCTTCTCCAAAGACTAGCAGTCCTACTGAAGCAAAAGAGAGTAGGCTTTCTCCTCCTTATCTTGCCTATTTTATTTTCATGGGAAGTGACTGCTGTAGCTTAGGCCATGCTCAATGCTAACATGCAGGCAGCATTATTTTTCAAAATGTTCCCTCCCTCATAATTAAAATTCATGAACAGTTCCCCGGAGAGCCACCTGAGGTAACAGAGTCTTTTCAGTGTGCCATTAATATACAGGAACACTGAATACAGGCATTTGGCTGTGTTCACTCTTCCTCACTCTTCCCTGGCTGCCCGCCTGTATGTGTTGTGGAGCAACAAAACTGAAATCTGGACAATTTATATTTCAGTAGTGATGCGATATTCTCTCTTTCGCTGTCACTTCACATTAAGGACCTGCCACTAATAAAACTAATTAATAACTCTTGGCTCCACGCAGAACACTTGGACTTGCTAGTGCTGGCACCGTGCCACAGTAGCTTTTGAAAGAAGTGCTTCATCTTAGTCAGGGACAGGATGAATATTCCCTGCAGTTCTAATTGGACCAAGTGGCTCTGCATTTCAGAGACAGCAGATTAGCAGGCTGTACATCTCTAGGTAGGATCTTCTTTCAGAAGCCTCTGAGACACAGACTTGTGGCTTGTCTGGGTGCTGTGTCAAGAGCCAGAGGCAGTGAGCACTGCCCAGGAGGGGTGGTTTGGGGTGTGAGGCTTGTCCTGTTAGATGGGGAGATGCACCCAACACCTGTACGGACCAGGAGGTGTAGGCTGGGTGGTTCCTTGCTCGAGAGAACAGTGAAGCACTGTCAGATGGATCCTTTTGGCTGTTTTAAAACAATCTGATTAAATGATGGAAACTGTACTGACCAAGTGACAGTTTGCTGAAAAGTTTCTTCTCTCTAGGAGGCTTTGTTGGTGTTGTGATGCCACTTGTGGGCGTATTTTGGTTTTTTTGTTCTCGCTGCTGACATAACTGTGCCAGTGAAATTTTGTAGTATGAGCTGGTCTATGTCACATAAAAATATTGTTCTGCCTTCGACTCTCACTCCCCTCTTTCCCTTTAGAAATACTATTTGCTTGCACACTGTAGCATTGAGACCCTCTCCACTGCTGTATTTCTCTTCAAGTAAAAGAGGCAAGCCTTGATGCTCTGGGATGCCATGGTATGTGTTTATTCATGACCAGATCATTATAAACAAGAATGTTCTGACACCTGTGCAGCACTTTCTACATGCATTTGCTCCTGCCAGGCAGCTACAGTTCTTTCCTGGCACTGCCTTTTATACACATGTAATTCAGAAGGGAAATTACTACAAGGAATATGGTTGAATATGAAGTTGGCCATAGGATTTTTATTTTAAAAAGAATTAATGAAAACCATGAACGTGAATGTAAAGGAAACAAACTGCAAACAGCAAGCTCCTGTGTTTTTTTGACCTGACAAAAAGGTATCTGACCCCTTACCATCATTTTCCTCAACTTTCTCAATGTGCCTCCTTACAATCGGAGCTTATTTTTTAGGCTAAGGTATTTTTTAGTGCTTGAAGGAAGGAGAAGGCTTCAGCTTATAAAAACAATTGATTCGGTTCATAGTTGGAAATACCAAGCATTGATTTTAATATCCCACAATGTATCAAGGAAATGAGTATCTTTTCTTCATCACACCCACCAGTTTACTGTCAATATAAGACACTACTCATTTATTACTATTAATTTGTTGTGGCTGTGGATGTTGCTTTACTGACAGGGGTGGATTCTCTGGCAGAACTTGTTGTGTGAGTTAAATGAAGCTGGAGGAGGTGTCAAATGCTGGATTGGAGGTGGAGAAGGATGGAAGTGGTGAGAGCACCCACAAGCCTGGGTGCCTCATTGAGACTAACATTTCCATATCTTCGTGTGTGTGTGTGCACAGTGGGCTTGTCCTCAGGAGCACATGGGACACGTTTCCTCTCAGTTCCCAGTGCCTCTCAGTGCTTACAGTGCCCTGGCAGTCACAGCAATGGAGCTGCAGCAATTAATATGCACCAGGTGCTAGAAAAGGAAGGAGTGCTCCTGATTAACTATAGTGTTCTGTTGGCAGAAGGAATAGATTGTCAAATATGTATGAAGTTGCTGCTTTTTCAGATTCCCTGTCATTCATTGCAGAGATTGTAAACGATGGGAAGTGAATCCAATTCTTTCATGGTGACGTAGTGCCACTGACTCCACTGTCACTGCCTTGGAACTACACCAGTGAAACTATACAGAGGAATTTGCCTCCTGGTCTTGTTGCCAAGTAAACTTAAAGTGTCAGTATTAAATTACTGGAGAGCAGCCCCTTGCTCTGCAGGTCCTGGAGAAGTATTAAAATCCATGTTGTACTGTCAGACACAAAGAAGAGTCCCCAGCTCCCAGCTGTATGCTTTTCCTAGTTTCATTCTTCCAACAGTTCTCCTTGACATTGCATTTTAATCCTTTCCAGCAGAACGGCCAGTTGGCAGCCTTGTGGTCTCAGAAAATATAGTAGTTGTCTCTTCCCCCCCCCCAGCATGAAAAAGGAGGAAGGTTGGCTGGAATTATAACTGGTGACTTCAGTTCCCTCATTACTGAAAAAGCTTTCAGCTACTGCCATCTCCTTCAATTTTTGTTGGTATGTCAAGAATAAGAATGTGGCTGAGCAGAAGTGTTTATCTCCAGTTTTGTTGCACCGTTGTTTTAAGTTACTTATTTGTGAAGTCAGAGGTGATGTGCAAGAGGATCTGCAAGACTTTTTTTCCTGGAATTTTCTGTGTTCCCTGTATATCTGCTGTGGCTGCCCCTCCACCCCCCTCATGTTTGTGTCTGTCTTTGCTGATGATTTTTGTAATGAAAGGGCTGCATTTTTTTTATTTTGAACAACACTTGACTTTACAGAAATAATTAAACTAATCTTTACCCTGATTCTTTGTAATCAAATCCAGGTATCCTAGGCAAAAAAGCAAATAGTTTATTTCCTAACCTAAAGGCATTTTTCATTTTTTTAATTGCTGTTTTGTTTCTTTTTTTTAAAGGTATAATCCACAAAAGGATGTTGTTGTAGGAAGGCAGGTGCTGGTTTCTTAAGTTGCAAATCAAGGTGTAGCTGAGGAAGGCAGGAGGATGCTGCTGCCAGAGATCAGCAGGGTAGGAAACCTGTCTGGAGGATCAGGAGAGAGCATCAGAGGAGCTATGGGTAGTCCTTGTGACAAAATGACTGGGCAGTTAAGCAGCACCCAAGGAAGCTTGGTTTGGTTATGTGGGTTGTAGGAGTGAGAAATCAGTTTTGGGGTTGACACAGGTGCTGCTGGAAGCAAAGCTATTGTTGGATATGAGTTTTACAGTGTTATTCTTGTAAATGAGAGGCCTTTTTTTCAGGGTATTGAACTGTCATGTCTTTTTTACTGTTGTTGAGTTGCTTTGCTCTAAGGTTATTCCATCTATAACCACATTTTGATACAATTGTTTTCATTTAGTAGTGGGGTACTTCCAGTCGGAATTGAGCATGTGAAGGGCTGCTTGCTTGGGGTTCTTCTCTCCTTACAAATATTAGCATAAGTTCTTTTCACAGAAAGTATGACATGAGTGCAACTTCAAAACTCCAAGTGTCATCATAGTTAAATTCCAGGATGTGTAGGGAACACAGTGCTATGTGTTGCACTAATTTTTGGAGACTAATATAAGGCAGTGAGAAGTCTGGAAGCATTTGTACAGCTGATTTCTCAAATGGGACTGCTGAGAGATGAAAATGTAATATTGGTTTGTGGTTAGTAGTCAGAAACAGCAGTCCTTGGTGTAGGGGAAGGTTCTCTGAAAATGTGATCACTACCCAAAAACGCCTGGTGTGTGTCAGACCCAAACTGCAGCTCAACCCTGATTGCTACACTGCAGGACACATTCTGGCAGTTCACCTTCCTCTCCTGCTCTGGGCAAAGTGGCCTGGGCAGTTTAGGGAGCTTCACTTGGGGAGTACCTTCTGCAGCTTCCAGCCCCTCTAGTGCTAAATGTGCTTAGGGGAACAGGGAAAAGAGAATTGGTTTGTCTGTAGTAGCGCAGTGAATCCTTTTATTCACAGAGTTGTTGAAAAGGAATGTAAAAATCGAGGAGGATGTTTCAGTGAGTCAGAAGCTGAAATGGAAAAGAAAATTGAAATACTACTTAGTGCTCCAATTTGGCATGCAGGGGATATTCTAAAATATCTTGTTGGTTCTGTTATTGTAGCTTGATTTTGGAAGTTAGGAAAAATAATAATTTAGAGCCTAGTCTCCTCTAAATATGCCTGTTTAAAAGCTTACTTGTTCAAAGAGATGATTTATTTGACTGGGTTTGGGTGGCTCTAGAGCATTGTTCAGTGCTGAGCTTATTTACCATGTAAACTTATATTGAATTATAGTGTTTAGAGAGTGAAAACCATTTGGCATCTCACTCATATCTTTGTTTACTCTCTAATGAAATAGCAGTGCAGGCTTTGATTCCTGTGCATTTATTATCTAAAAGAATTCTCAGCTTTTACTTCATTGTAAGATTCATTCATCAAAAATAAGATAGTTCTTGGTTCTGTTACTTTTGATGATGATATAAATATACAGTGTTCTCTGTATTGTTTAAGCAAGTTGTGCATGAAGAAGAAAGTTATCAATCAAGATTTGAGGTTTTTACAAAGCCATTACCTTGGGAATCTTCTCTTTTGTGTTGGGTTCATGCCATGTTCTTTATAGAAAAAATGCATCATTTATTGGTAACTGTGAGTTAATACTAGATATAACTAGTTGAAAGTTTTGGCATTTTGTACTTGCCTAAAAGTTCTTGAATTTCCTTTGACATTTGACAGCCTCAAGCACTGGGGATTTCCCCTGTATTTTATAATTTTGTCAATCTCTCTGTGTCTCTGTGATTTCTAAGTAATCTAGGTAATTTCTGCATTCTACATGGCTAAAAAGACACAGAAAGTGTAATTTACTTGGTAGGGCTTGATACTGCTCACTGCTCTGCCTTTGGATTTGTCAGAGCCTTGATGTGTGAGTGCTAGTGCACTCTTCATGTTTTCTTGCACAAGTTAATTAAATAAGGATTTATGACTTCTAATTGATTCCCAGAAGTACTTTGTATAGATGTAGTACAGGAATAATCTGTTGATAGCCTCTCTTGGTGGTGATGAAGGATTTAAGTAATGTGCATTTGCAAACAGAACAAGTTCCAGTATGTTCATCTTTATGCTAAACAAGGCAGGGATAAGGCTGGCAGGTATAGCTCAATTTGGAAGCATCCGTTTCAGAAGTGCAGCTCTGAAAAGCAGAATTCTGGTGGCTATAGAAAGCACAGTCAGGCCATTTGCAGCTACTCCAGTGTGGTATCTACCAGGTTATCAGTAATGACAAGAAATGCACAGAGCTTTTTGTGGGTACATGAGCTCTTGCAACATTAAAAGTAGTGCAAAAATATCCTGGATAATGTGTGATGATGTGGAGAACAACATAAAATGTCCATGTAAAATCTGTGTAGTGATTTTTATCTTCAAGTGCTTTTCAAGTGTTCCTAATAAATAAAACTTGAATGTAGAACTGGTGGCAGATGTGTTACTTCTTTGACTGAAAACTGGTAGTCCAAGTGTGTTGCCTGTCTAGGGAAGTCTCACACCCACTGACGGCCAGATGCTGAGAAGGTGCTGGGAAGAGCAGAATTACATTTACACCCCTTTTCTGATAAATCTGTATAAATGCACTGGAAATCTTACCAAATGGCATCTTACCATTCTCTATTTACATAGAGTTGTTTTTAGGAATCCTCTTGCCTCAAATGCTCTGGTTTTCCAAATACTTTTTGGACGAGCACAAGCATTTGCTGCTGCAGCAACTAGAGAGTACCAAAATCCCTTTCTGGTGTATTGGTTGCCATAGTTTTTGCCATCCTGTGATATGCCTATTGTTTAGATCATGCAGATACCCAGGAAAAGGATGTCTGTCTTAAAAGCCAAATGCTTAACACCCTTGTTTCTCTGTCAGAAATTCGGACTAACTTTGTCTGATTCCTTTAATAGGCTTTTTGCTCCCTTTATTTCTTTTTGTGAGGAAAGAAAACATTCAAATGTTTGTAGTATGTGTTGTTCTTAAGAGATCCTACAGAGGCAAATAGTCTCTTGTGTAAAGCTTAAAATCCTAATTTCCAGTTTGCCACAATATGTGTTCATGCTCTTTCAGACAGGTTTAGATTTTAAAACTTCATAGCAGTGCTGTGATCATATTGTTGAGATTCAGGACATGTTAGGGAACTTGTGACTGCAGAAGGTTTATGTCAGAGGTCCTTGAATTCAGCCTGTCTTTCTCTCCAAAAGGCCCTACATGCAGGTGAAGCTACTTCACGGAATTCCAGGTAGAAATCTATGACATTAGAAACGTTTCACAAAACATGAGGTGTCTTTAGAAATGCCACATACCCAGAAATGTTTTTGGCCAGTGCCTGTGTTATATATCTCTGGCTGATCTTTCCTTCTTTCCTTCTTTCCTTCTTTCCTTCTTTCCTTCTTTCCTTCTTTCTTTCCTTCTTTCTCTTCCTTCCTTTCTTTCTTTCAGTTTTTTGGTGGTTTTTTGGGTTTTTTTTTGTTTGTTTTTGTTTTTGTTTGGGTTTTTTTTCTTCCTCGATTGTGCAATCATTTCAAGTAGAATTGGAATTTATTCAACAGTCTTGAATTCTGACACATTCAGTCTAGGAGTAAGACTTAAATTCATAAGAAGTTTCCTTGCTTTCTAATCATTATGGAGCTATATTTTTTCATGGAGTATGGAATCAGTTCAGCTTTTGTGTAGTCTTTTAAAAGTTATTTTCTTGTGATGAACTTTTTTTCTTAATTCAAACTTCCAGGGACTTTGCAGTGGTGTTTTTATGCTTAGTATTTTTAAGCATCTGGTATTTAGCCCTTGAACTGCTTCATTTTCCATTTTGCAGGCAATTTTTTAAAATGCTTTTGCATGTGTTTGCTTTTGGCTGATTTGTTGTCTAGATTTTTAGAAATCTTTTTATGAGAACAGCATGTAAGTCTGTTTTCCTACCTTGAAGCTTTCTCTGTAGGCTGTTATGTTTATGTTAAGGCTGAAGTCCATTCTATAACTCCTCCTTCTTTTCTTCTGTTATGTAAAAAGAATAAATAATGCAGTTGAGTTCTCACATCTGTCTTATACATCAGGTCATACCCTCCTGGTTGCCGTTCTGCAGTACAGGATTGTATCAGAACCCTTTCTGGTGGTGTGGTGTGCTGGTCCTGTCTGACAGGGGCGTTTGGACATCCCACCTATTTTCCATGAAAACTTTTTGTCTTTATGGGATGCAGACTGTGATGACCTCTTTTCAACTTGCCAGTTTCCCACGGTGTGGAGGGGATGTCTGAAAGAGCAGCTTAAATGAACTAAAAGATGCTTCAGCTGCCATTTGCTGAACAGACTGTTTTGCAGGCTCAACATTATAACTGAGAAAAAGCAAAGGAAGGAGGCATTGCTGTAGTGTGGAGGGGAGACAGAGACTGGGGAAGGAGAGAAGGGCTTCTTGCTCACTATTCAAGCTCTAATCCCAGTGGAAAAGATAGTTCAGGTCACCATTTTTCTGTGATTTCCCCCTGCCCCAAACACTCCCTGACAACAGAGATACTGTTGAGAGAATGCAAATGATTCCAGAGGTGCCTGTGTGGATATCTGGGGTTTCATGTGAGGTAAAGAATGAGAAAAGAACCCTCCTTGGGCCCTTACTAACACATTGCAGGTTGTTGTGTTTAGCTTGGCAGCAATTTTTTTTCTTTTTTAGATAGAGGCTCTTTGAGTGCAATCCTAGAACCAGGTTTGTATTGTTTATGTGAGTGATAAAACTTGGCTGGAGCAGAGCTCTTCCACCTGCCTACTTGGTTTCTGTAGTATCTTTTACACCTCTTATCAATCCTTCCAAACCCATCTGTCTTCTAGAGTGCCTGTTTTACAGAAAATACTGCCTCCTCACCTGCGTGAGCTGAAGCTCAAAAGATACCTGATCTTTCTAAAATACCATCTTGGAAAGCCTGTGTAAAACAATCCCGTGAATAGATGATGTTGCATTGTTGCATTCAATGCAGGGATTGATAATGGCATCTCTTGTTCAAGTAGCTGAAAGAAACAGGCAGAGCTTCTGTCATTTGACACGGGTGGCTCAGCACAGGGGAGCAGCGTCCGTGGACACACCGTGGGTGCTGTGATTTCTGCAATGCTCCGTGTGGGGAGTCCGGCCGCGTTTTCCCCGCGGGCAGTCCCTGCAGCAGCCGAGTGGGGCTGTGGCTGGAAGTGCAGCGCCTGTGCTGGCCCAGGAGCCGCCCCGTGCCTGCCGCTCCTGCCCGCTCCGAGCAGCTCCGCCCCGGGCGCCCCATTCTGGGCTACTCGAGCTGGGTGTCCCTGGGAACAGTTCCCTCCTTCTGCGAAACACAACGGGATGGACTCCTCAGCTTGGTGTAACTCAAGCGAGATGGGGGTTACCTTAAGTTAATTGTGAATTTAAGACGTGCTCCAGTGGTCATTTCTTGGCCTGAGTTCTTTAAAGTTTCTTAACGTTCACTGAAGGAGATCATATGCATTTCAAGAAGATACAGAGATTCTGTTATATATTCACCGGCTTTAAACATTCGCTTTGAACTGTTTAATATTTAATGTAGGGTTATGAATATGAAAACATGGTATTTCAGAGTTTTGGGGAAAGTTTTAACCACGGGCTTCTACATGTTAGATTTCCCTCCGCATAGATGGTGATTTGTTTTTTAAAATAAAAACAACCCCCGTGAACTGTATATAACATCTAAGAACACATTTGTCTTTTCCTGTGGTGTAAGTGAGAATATATATGCCTATATAAATATATACTGGCACATGTTTTTTGCCTTCAAAATGGCTTGTGGGCCATAAGTGAACAGACTGCTCAGTTACTATGCCTGGAAAGCTTATTTAATACTTCCAAATTTAAATATTTTTCTCTGTTGGTTTGTTGCAAAAAAGTGCAGTCAAAAATTGAACCTGGCAATAAATTTATTTTTCTGAAGGAGAATTACTCATTGGATGAAACATTCATTTTTCCAACAAATGGTTGCTTTCTCCTATACTACAGACATTCCTTTTCAGTGCTTATAACTGAAGTAGGAGCATTAAGGATACTGAATGGGAAATACCTTCATTATAGTATCTTGGTATAAGAACATGTAATTCTGGTCTAGTAGAGAAGTTTGATTCTTCCCTGTGAGGATGGGCAGGCCCTGGCACAGGGTGCCCAGAGAAGCTGTGGCTGCCCCTGGATCCCTGGAAGTGTCCAAGGCCAGGTTGGACAGGGCTTGGAGCAACCTGGGCTAGTGGAAGTTTTCCCTGCCCATGGCAGAGAGTTGGAACTAGGTGACCTTTAAATGTCCCTCCCGACCCAAACCATGTTATGAGTCTAGTATTTATTTTTTAAAATGTGAAAGTGCAAATTAATGTGCTTGTAATTAATGTAATGAGGTGACCTGGTTCACTCAAATTGGGTACAGTACATAGTTTCTTGCTGTTTCTCCAAGCTGGTACTGAAGTAATGTTTCATTAATATAAATAAATAATATTCTTCAGTACTTCTGCACATTCCATAATCTTTATAGGCACTATAGTTTCTTGATCTGAAAATACTTTCTCTGATAAGCTTCCATACATATATTAAGGTGTCACAGGTTACTTCATTTGCTAATGACTCAGAATTCAGATCAGGTATTTGCAATGGAGTTAACATACAGAAAGAATATTTTTCTACAGAAAAGAATAATTAAGACTACCATTTAGAAATGAAAAACACTCTTATTCCCATGAACTTGGTTGCTATAGGGAATATGGGGGAAGGGTGAATAACAAATGCAGTAGCAGTGTGCTTGGAGATGGCCAGCAGTTAAGGCCTCAGAATGATTTGGACAGGCTGTCTTTCCAAAGGCCAAAGGAGGGAAGAAACAGATTCCATCTCTCCACCTGGTGGGAGCAGGAAGGTTGGGGTGGTGCAAGGAGGGTATGCATTGAGATAGAAGACATTAACAATGGCTGGGGGGGAAGAGTTGTTATTCTTTTTAGATTTATGGGGAATCTGTTCTTCAGGGGACTTAGGCCATTTAGCGGAGAGCAAAGAAACGTTCCTGGGGTCCATCTGTCTCCTGACATCTGGAGGATGGCTCTTACCTCTCATGCTGTTCCTTTGTGCTGCTTTGTTTGGTGTCTCAGACTGATCAGCTCAAAGCTAACTTCAGAATACATCCCCAGCATTCACAATGTGTTTATTCTTATGTGATAATTGCTGGTGCAGAAGTAAAGTTTGTAAATTCTCTTTCTTTCCAGCTGGAAGAAATATTTCCAGACATTTGTAGGGAACAATGCAGATGCTGTCACCTTCCCCTCTCTTCCCCCAGTACCATAGCAAGACCCTGTTAGGTAAATTTTAAGCCAAGTTGGGTGAGATGATGTGGAAGAAGGCTTGCACCTTGAAAAGATGCCTTCTTATTCCCTTGCAGGTGTTTTGTCTCTGTCCTGGGCTGGTGTGTAATGTCAGTCTTGTTAGGACTGCCTGCACCTCAGGTAGTGACCTGAGTGTGGGCATCATGCCATAGTCAGCAGGTGATAGCTCTTCTTTGGATATACTTTTGTCTGCAGAGACTCCCAGGCCTACCTCTAGTAACTACACTTTGGGGGAGAAGGGAAGGCACAATGTCAAGAATTCTTAGCACTTGCATTTGAAATAACAGACAAGAGCTTTTCCAAGTGCTAGAGAAGAAAAACATTTCAGAAAGAAGTAAGGACACAAGTTACTGTCTCCCTCCAAAATGCAATGCACATTTACTAAACTCTGAACAGATTTATGTCAGAGACCTTATGACTTTGGGAACAGGACTTCAGGTCACCTGTGCAGCTGCTCAGAAAGTGAAGGAGAATGGTGACCCAGCAACAGGAGAGGAAACAAAGTGAGCACTGAAACTGTTCATCACTGTGGTACTTGTTAATGATTCTTCTGGGTAGCAGCAATAATGAGCAGTTGAAAGAAGTACTTTATGTACCCTCAATAAATTGCTTCCAAACTTCATAATTGCCACAATTCTGGCTTTCAGTAGACCTGGTAATGAATTTTTGAGTGGTGTCCACATGTTGTGCCTATTACTGTACTTGACTTTCATCCTATTTTGAGTGATCTCATCAAGGGATGGATGATGTTATCTGAATAGAATGTATTTATTCAATATTGGGCACAGTGGTGATGATGAAATGGAAATAACTATGCAACTGACTGCAAGTGATTTTTTAAAATTCATTTTGCTGTGATGCCACCTTTTCCTGATTCTGCTGTAGTGCTGATAGGTGTGTCATTTCAGATGGCACTGCCTGAAAAACCCAGTGTATTGATTACAGGAATAGAGGATCCAGCAGCCTCTTACTGTTATACATGGGAGAAAATAGATGCCTTTTTGTCTTGGAAGTGTAGACACTGCTGAGGTGTTTCAAATGGCAGAAAATGCCTTAGGTTCAGATGGGCATGATGAAGCTTAAATGTCCCTTAAAGGCTTGTGGCATGTGCCTGTGATCAGAATTTAACACAGTTCTTGCCTTCTGCTGACAAAATAAAAAGGAGGAGGAAGTGATGGTGTTTTTGGGGTTTTTTTTTTGGTTGGTTGGTTGGGTTTTTTTGGGGTTTTTTTGAAGGAGAAAAGTAGAGAAATCTGGAGAGGCTTTACCTCACTTATATGAGCTCTTTCTATATGTATAATTCAACATGGCACCTTATATATAATTTAATGTGTGAAATAAACATAACATTTGAATTTCACAACTGGAACTCTTCTACTTACAGAAGTGGAATTTTATCCATCTGCTTTTAATTTAAAAATGCAGTTTCTGCAATGAAATGAACATGTGTAGGGGCTTAAAACACTGAATCCTAAAGATTGCATGACACCTTGCCTCCTTCCTAAGATAGTGAGCTTAACCACTGTACAAGGTATATGTTGCATTGATGTCAGTGTCATGACTGATAAATCACTTTCATCCTGCAACAGAGCCTTATTTATAAATAGCTCTTTAATAGAATGCCCTAAGATGGCAAAGATGTTTTTCAAACCCCAGAGAATACTGGCTCTTGCCTCAAAGAGCTTATAGTCTAAATGAAGTAGATAACCAGGTAGAAAAGAACAAAGAATAGAGGAGAAACACAAAGCAGAGAAGTGGTGGGTAGGGGGGAAGGGAGGTGGGCATAAATCTCAGGAGATCAGGTCTATCAGCTTCTTGTTTTTAGAAGGAATATTGTTCACTGCCATTATAATTGAAATTAGATAATGTTTTGGAGCAGAGCTCACTGAACAGACTCACTGGTGTTGAGTTTTGTGGAGGAATGGAAGGATGTTATTTTGTGTTAGAAGGGCTGTCGTAGGCATCAGGAGTAGCATGGATATGCTGCTTGCAAGGGGATTTCACAATAGGTGAACAAGTAGTGTCAATAAGCTTTGCTTCATTGATTTTCATTCATTCCAGCTGAGGATATAACCCAGTGGGAGCAGTTAGGAAAAAGTAATAGACCTAGAGGGGAAAAGAAGGTTTTCTTACCTTTGTTAAGCCTTTTGCCTTGCAATCTGAATTGCACCTTTGCTCCTCAGGAAGTGCCTTGGTGTATCACGCACAACAGAAGCAGCTTACTGGGCTGGTCCTCTTGGAGAGACAGAGTAAAGATTTTTCATATTGTCTTTTCCCTGCCTTCTCACATGCAGGGGTTTGTCAGAGACTGCAAAAATGGGATGCTACACTTATTTAAGGTTTCCTAACACAGAGGAAAAAATAGCCCAAACCAATAAAATTGATTTAGCTTGGTGCACTTTCGATTAAATGGATGGCTCTGCTTCTTGTGTATGGTGGGTTTCTTTATTTTCTTCTATTATGCAAAAAGTTTGCTTTTTATGTTGCTTGCTTATTAGAGTCTTTGAAACAAAGAATAAATAAATCTGAGAGTCACTAGGTATTAATCTGTGACTTGCCATTATGTTTATTAGCCATCATCTATTAGCATTCACTTGCTGCCTGTATTTTATTTTGACTGCAAGACAGTCTTGGCCTTAGTATTTCACTTCTAGAGCTCATAGTATTTTAACTTGTCATCATCCTGAATCTGCTCCAGGTGGAATACTACCAGTGGTGCAGGAAAACAAATATGGTCTCTTGAGGAAGAACATTTAGAAACTGAAAGCTGAGCAGAAGTGATGGATCAGAAAGGGTTTTGGTGACCAAATAGTAACAAATGTAATATGTTTGGATAGGACAAGTAAGGCCACTTGTAAAATATCAAGCGGTACTTCTGGCCAATTTATGTGCCCACTTCAGCTAAACAAACACAATAGGTTTTACATTACTTGAGAGTGAAGATCCAAAGGGTTTGCAATAGTACTTATTTTTATTATACTGCTGTTTTGTTCTGAATGCATTGGTCATGCCCTGAAGCTGCACAGCTCAGTTGAGAGGCTTTCTCCACCACTGTATTTGTGTCCTTGGTGTCCAGTGGGAAAGGTGCTCCAGAAATGTTCAGAACATTCCATGTGTCCTTTGCCAGTGATGCCTGTGTATCTTTAGACTGGGGAGAATGAGAACAATGTTGTTGGGAACTGAAATCTTGGCCATGAACCTGAGCATTAGAGACAAATGAGAGGGGTGTGGTGGAATACAGAGGAAGTTTTAAACTTTTTGGATGGTCACTTGTGGAGGATGACAAGACATTGTCCTGTTGCTGCTGAGAGTGGATGTGAATTTGGGGCCTGAAAGTATGGTGGTGCTGACTTGTTCCCTATTCACTGGAAATGTAAGGCAAATGGAAACATGGAGAATTGAAGATTTTTTTGTTTGTGGCAATTATTTTTTAGGGCAGTAATGTCCTTGCCAGTCAGTTGGTCTCATAAAATGTTAGAAGCAATTAATGGCTAGCAGTTTGGTTACAGAAGCTTTAAAGATACTGGAATTATGGAAACCTTTCCATTTCAGTTCATATGCCATCAGTGGTGGTTGTAAAATATTTCCAGCGCACAGAAAAGTTTCCCAGTCCAAGGGAAGTTAACCAATATGAAATAGAGAATTCTTGTAAGACTTTCAAGATATTCCAAACCAACAGAAGATTAAGGAAACACACTCTCTGCTTATTCTTAAAACCAGTTCTAAAGCTTTAAAATGTGTTTTGTGGAAGTGTGGCATTTGTATGCTGTGGCCAGAAGTATAAAAAGTCCCTGTGTATTCCTGAATGCAAGGAATGTCAATATAGAGGTGATGATCAAAATGCTTGATAGTGCACTTACTCATTATTACCAAAGATGAGGAAAACAGTTTTAATTCTCACCTTACAAGCACGTAGTTCTAGAAGATTGTTGTTGCGTCCAGGCTGTGGATATGGTTCATATAGGTAAAATATTAAAAACTATAAATTTGGAAATATGAAGTATTGCTACTGTACAGTGGCCAAGTTATTGACTGAGCCACAGGAAAACCATTCTACTTCTCATTTTTTAATTGTAACATGCTGATTTTCTTTTATTGCACAGCCATACCTGCATTCTTGTTTTTAACTTTAGCTTAGTGAAACATCTTTCTGATACTTTTCCATTAACCTTGCTTGGATGAAGATAACAGTGGTGCAGCATAATATCTTTTTATTGATTCCCTCCTTTCCCTCCCTGAATTGCTAAGCCAACACAGAGAGGAGTGAATAGCTATTTTTAAAATACCTGTTGTGATTAAAAACCCTAGATAAGAAACTGACAATTTTTCCTCTTATTCTGCTCTCTGGGTTGTCAGCTTTGGAGCAATTTAACCACCAGCTGAGAAGGTGGACAAGTAGTGTCCTCTTAGATGTCTTTGCAGCTCAGGCCATGAAAACAGCTTTGTGGCTGGTTTTATGCAGCACCTCACATTAGCCAGTTTTCCAAAAGCAAATTGACCTTTTCTGTGTAATGTTTTATGTCAAGTAGGAGATCAGACCTGCTGTGCTTGTGCTGTAATTTCCTTTAAATGCAGTATTAGATGTTCTGGTGTAATGGTGATACCAGTTATTATGTCAGTTGGTGTTTGCTCTGTTCCCCCTCCCACTTTTTTCAATTCAACTTGGGCTCTCTTGAAATGTATCTGTAGAAATCTTTACTGCCACTTGGGCAAGAAAGGGAAGCCCTGAACACCTTGGCCTGCAAATACCCTGCCTGTGGAGCTTGCCCTGAGCAGGTGTAGCCACATCTGCTCCACTTCATCCAGGGGCAGCTCTTGGTGCTGGGCCCTTGCACAGGTGGCATGTGGGTCCCCAGTCCCAGCCCTACAATCAGCAGTTTCTCCAGTGCCTTGGAACCGAACAAAAGAGTGGCTAAAGCCTGTGCTGGCTAACAAGATTCGAAGTGATACATTTGTCTGCTGGGCCTTCTTCAAGCTGTAGAGAGAAAAATAGAACAAGCTTAGTTTTTCCATAATTTCCCCCCTGTAGCCCAAAGGAGACCACACGACAGAGATGTCTTCTCTAATCTTCTCTTCCACCCTGCATTATTTTCCTTCCCTCCTCCTTTCCTTCTGTCTCACAGCTCCCCTCCCCACTCGCACACACACAGACTTTTGACAGCACACCAGTTTGATTCTTGAGCTCCCTTTTTAGCCCACATGGGTGTCTAGTCAGTGCTGCAGCCCTGGCTAATACACGAGAGTTGGAATAAATGTATAACAGCAGGTAGCAAGTGACTGTTGACAGGGTGACATATTGACTTAATATCTTGTGTTATGTGATATGAAGGATGTGCCTTTTGGTGTGTATTTTCATTTTAATTTTTTTTGTGTGTTTCTTAGACAGACACTTGTAGGCAGTTTGGAGTAATTGTCTGAAATCATTAACATGTTTATTAAATAAGGGAGCAGAGTGCATTATCTAGCAAATCAATTATGCAAATGCACAAAAAGCATAAGAGATTCATCTTTAACTGTTGCTGAACTGCATCCACTTTCCTAAATTATACATGAAAGTGGGGTTTTTATCAGTGTGTATGTGTAGTGTTAGGCTCTGCTTTGCTCTTTTGGAGCTTTAAGTAACATCGATTAATTGGTACTGTTGTGCAAGAAGAGGGCACTCCTGATGTACACTAATGAACACCAGTGTGCATACATCCTTTCTATACAGGGAAACAGATGGTCTGGAGTGGAGAACAGAAGTAATCTCAACTGGAGGGTCTGGACGACAAGATAAACTGACAGTGAAGCCCTAGCAATTTATTCTCTCATCTAGACACTGGAAAAAAAATCTCCGGGAAAATCTGTTAATCTCCAGCATTTTTAACAGTATGTTTTCTTTCTGATGACTTATGATCAAATGAGACCATGCCTCTACAGTTTTACCAATCTTTAACTTCAAGAGGAGGCGAGAATAGAGCTCATCACTCATGGCATGCTTGGAAAATTCACCTCTTTCCCTTACAGCTGTATAAATGGTGTGTGTAGGGAACCATGTGGTAATAACAGCACAAACTGCACTGCTCCATTTTCACCCACTGCATTTTCAGTCGTGCTCAGCTGGAAAGAGTGCAATCTGCTGTGGTTCAGGCAACTGTGATTTATCCACTTCTCTGAAGCATATTGCACAAAAAAAAAGGGAAGTCTTACATCTTATGGAAATGGTAGGTACCTGTTCAGGAGTCAGAGAAAAGGTTATGGATGCATTTTAAAAGTGAGTGAAGCTCGTGGAAACATTATTATTCTTCATTATTAAGTACATGTATGGTCTCAAGCTTCTAGTAGTAGCTGGGGCCTTCCCAGAGGGTATCACTATTAATCAGAGAAGGAGAACACATACCACACTAATTGTTTTTGCCATACTATTATTTTCCTACCATGTCATCTTCTATGTATCTTCCACAGAGGTGTGCAGAGGTTGGGCCACTTCCAGATGCCCAGCACACAGGATGCAGAATTTCCCTATAATGCTGATTTTGCAGTTCATCATAAATGCTCAAGCTGTCTTACAGCACAGTTGTCCTCAGGACACGCTGTGGTTTCATCCCTACTGGAATGTCAGCACAAATAATTCAGCTCTATATTTCTTTTGTTGTTATTTCTAACCTGGCTTGAGATTGGTTTGTTGAAGAGACAAACTTCTGCTGGCTTGATGGGTAATATCCTGTTACCAGAACCCAGGATGGCCTCCCAGGAACTGAGGCAAGGAATTTTTCTTTCTTCCTTTCCTCTGGTACTCACTCTTGCCCCTAGGTCTGACTGGGAGGATGGTGAAGAAAGGCTTTGCAGCCTGACATCCCTCTGGACAGACCATGCACTGCAGTGACAGTCATTGTACCGGGTGATATAGGAGTTAATTTGTCATAAAATCAGGAACTATGCTACAGAGCTGGATATAAAGGATGCACACTGCTTTCCTGTATTCTGGCCAGGTGAGCTGTAGGCAGCTCTCTGAGTGCAGTTCGGTTCATCTGTGCAGTCCCACATGTCAGGGCTGGCTATTTGCTCTCATTGGAAGACTTTCTGGAGTGGGTATCACTGGAGATATGGCAATTCAGCTGGAGACAATAAATTATATTACTGTACCTGAAAGTAGGATTCATTTAGTTTCTGATGAAATTTTCAGCTGTGAAAATCTTGTTTAAAGACAGTGCCTTCTCAGGAATTCTCAGTGTTAAAATAACAGGACATTAAGTGTGTCATGTTTATTAATTGTCAAAATTAGATCAATCATAAGAGAGCTAACAGATATGCCTGGTTGAGCTGAAAGATGAAGATGGAAGAGCTAGCAGATATCACCAAGGAGCTGAGAGATGCCAGGAGAGATGACAGATGTGGCTGGGTGAGCTGAAGGGGGATTGGAAAAATGCAATCCCAGTAATTGCCTCAGGGAAGAAATAGTAAACCTTGTAGACCTTGAAAAAATGTCTCAAGTGAGCAGGAATGGAGGAGTTTGTTCTGTGCCATTGTCTGACTCACTTGCAGTGTCTGCTTCTTCCTCTTGAGAAGCTGCCATAGGGGAATGAATGCTGTGATAGCTTGGATTTGGAATTTTATTCATGTTTAGATGAAAAAGCAGACTGTAGAATATTATTGTGATGATCCTTTCTGACCTTTCCATGGTCCACACTTTGGCACCTTCAGGGACTTGTGAGTCTTTAGCCTGCAGTGTTAAAGAACTTGATCTCGCAATGACTCACTTGGCAGCAGATTCCTGTACCTGGGCAGAGAACAGGAATAAACTCAACGTTGCAAGCTGGGGGATCCAAGTCCAGCTTTCTGCTTTCCCAGAGAATTTGGGAAGGCAGATACATTGGTGTGATCTGTGGGATTTTTTCTGTTCTCTGTGAAGCAGGCAGAGAACTCTGCAGTAACATGAGAAGGAGCACTGGGGTTTGTGATGTGCTCAAGGGGTTCTGATGACATGGCCAGGGGGCTGTTAGATGTCGAATTGATAGAGCATGTATTAATAAGAAAACATATAATATATTGATATGTGAAATATGGCCTTTTGAGTATATTCAAATATAAACAGTATTCCATGTATCTGGAACATGCAGGTAGCTGTTGCACTGAGGTTTTTAAGTGAAGAGTGCACTCTACCCTTTTTTGTTATTTTCAGTAGCTTAAAAGCTCATTGGGCTGTACTAAAAAGAAAAACGACAATACATCCCACTGCATTTAGTGAAGTATCCCATCCTTTTACAAAGAACTTGTTTTTCAAAACCTACAAGGAGAGCTAAATTCCAGAGTGGTGTCTCTATAAGAATGGAGCTCATGGGGCTTTTTCAAATGATGAAGGATGTACTTCAGACAATAATATGCATAGGTATGGCATGTCTATAAAAGTTGGTTCAGAAAGTCTGCACAACACCCCCTCGTTGATGCTATAAATACACCTTTGTGATGAAGCTCAAAATGGGATGAAAATATTTTGATACTGTGTTTTTAACTTTTGATACGTCTCTTGGCTTGAAAGATAAAAGGATTCACTCCTAGAATTTACACTCCTCTGATGTGATTAAAACCAGATAGGTGTACTGTAAATAGAATATACTCTGTATGATGATAGGTATGGCTTAGTGTTTTTGAGCAGGAGGTTTCTTACTGTGGAAAAACAGCTTTTCTTGATAAGTTGCTTGTCACTGTTTTCAGCAGCACCTCCTTTCATCTATTATTCATTTTGGAAGACTTAATAGTATGATTTGGGTGTGGGCTGATACCAGACACCAGTAGAGTATAATCCCTGCAAGAATGAGATCCACAGAGCTATTGGGGTTGGAGAGGCAAACAGACAAATGAATCTTTGCTTTTTGCAGAACATTTCCCCATCCAAAAAAAGAGTCACACTGTTACATGCTGCAAACTGTCTCCACTAGTCCCCTATTTAAATCCTGATTGAGCAGACAAAAAAGATGAGTGTCTTCACACCTTGTGCCTGTGTAAGGTATGGTGTAAAGCAAGACCCTCATTCTACAGTGAAAGGAGTAGCTCTGCCCTCGTTGTCCTGTAAGGATTGGAACATGGAGCAGTATCTGGAAAGGCTGCATCTAATATTTTTCTCCAGCCCATTAGCACAAACTGGGGTGCTTGCAGAAGGTCTGCAGGTTGTTCCCCATGGTTTATTGTGAGGTCTGTAGGGCTGCAGTTTGGTGTGCATGTAATGACTGTGAAGTCCTGTGTGACCGTGGATTTGTTGCAGTTGCTATGTGCATATAGATGGATATATTTATAGAAGAATCACTGTGAATGTGAGAAAGAAGCCTTTGAAGTGTCAAGCCAAATATTCTGGGGGAAAAAAGAAGATTTCTTGTCTACATCAGAAGCTTGCATTTCATGTAGACTTGTCTCATTTTACCCAAAATATCTCCCAACAGGTCAGGAGAGCTGAAAGCAATAATAATAATAATAATTGGAAATGTAGGGGGCAGGAATGTGTGTATGAGAAAGGATAGGGGGAAGAGGGAAATAACAAACATCTCTGAAATGTTTTTGTTCCTCCTTAGTTATGATTTGTTTCTTTGCAGTAGCTGTTTCTCCTGCTCTGTCTCCTGTTCTCTCACGGACCTGCCAGGGCAGACAGGGCTGGGTTGCTTTCCCTTCAGTCAGGCCCCTGGAGGTGTCCTGCTGGCAAGGGACGAGGGATGCAGGACAGCTTCCAGTGCTCTCTGAGCAGACTGGACCCCCCCAAAGCTCCAGGTCAGGGTTAGGGGAGGTCTGGCATGGGTTGTGCCCCTCAGTTCCCAGCATGGAGGCCACCACAAAACTACCCCAGGCCTGACACGAA